TATATACTTTGCTGGTTTTTGTGTTTCTCTAGAGAACCCAATCCAACACACCCAGTAACCTACTAACCTTTCCCAAGCAAACCCTTCTCTGTCTTTTTACAGTAATGGCTCATACAGTACTTGTCTTTCTGAGATTGACTTATTTCATTCAGCATAATGTCTTCCAGGTTCATCCACATTGCGAGAACATTCACGTATCCCTCATTGTTCTTTAATGTAGCATAGTATTCCATTGTGTGCATGTACCTTAATTTGGTTATCTACTCATCCACTGATGGGCATTTAGGTTGTTTCCATCTCTTTACTATAGCGAATTGTGCTGCGATGAACGTAGGTGTACATATGTCTGTTCATAAGCTATCTCCCACCTCTTTAGGATATATTCCTAGTAATGGAACTACGGGGTCCAATGGTACTTCTATTTTCAGTTTTTAAGGAAATGCCATACCATTTGCCACAATGGTTGTACCATTTTACAGTCAACATTCACTTTAGAAGGTATAAATGTTTAAAACAGTTTTTGAATATCTGTTGGGAAACCTCCTTGAGTCAAAATCATAATTTTTATTTTACTCTGATTAAATGTAGATAAAATAGCAAAGTTTGTCATTTTAACCATTTTTAAGTGTACAATTCAGTGACCTTAATAATCCATTTACAAAAGTTTTTCACCCCACAAGCAGAAACCCACTACCCCTGCTGCGCTAACACACACGCCCAACTCCCCTACCCCTCATTAACGACTAACAAATTCTGTTCTCTATGCTCTTGCCTGTCCTAGATACTTCATATAAGTGAGATCATACAATGTTTATCTTTTTATATGACATCAGCATAATGTTTTCAAGGTTCACCCATGCTGGATCACGTGCCAGGACTTCACTTCTCTTCATGACTGAGTAATACGCCACTGCACATATAAACCACATTTTATTTATCCCTTATCTGTTGCTGGACAACTTTTTGGCTATTATGACTAAGGCTTCAATGAATATTGGTAGATACATATGTATCTGTTTGACTCTTAGCTTTCTAGCCTATGGGTATATACCTAGAAGAATTGCTGGGTCTATGCTTAACTTTTTAAGGAACTGCCGCACTTTTTCACAATGGCTGCACCATTTTACATTCCCACCAACAACGCACAAGGATTCCAATTTCTCTATATCCTCCCCGACATGTTATTTTCTGTTTTTCTGATAAAGCCATCTACTTAGTGTGAGATGTTATCTCACTGTGGTAATGACTGGCATTTCCCTGATGAATAATGATAGGGCATTTGTGGTCCAGTGATAGAATTCTTTTTTTTTTTTTTTTAATTGTGATTTGGGTGAAGATTTACAGAGCAAATTCACTTTCCATATAGCAGTTCACATATACTTTGTCTCAAGTCACTGACCACAGTTTACCACAATGCAACAGCTCCCCTCCCATTTCTTCCCCATAGTTATCTCTTCCCAGTGTCCACAGTGATAGAATTCTTGTCTTCTACTCGGAAGACCTGGCTCCCATTCCCAGGCAATGGATCTCAGGTACAGCCACCATCCATCAGAGGAGGCTTACATGTTGGTATGATACTGAACAGGTTAAAAATCAGCCAACGGAGACTGTATGGATCACAATGGCCTGACCCCCAAGCCATCACGTGGATGTTACAGGACTGGGTTGTTACAGGACTGGGTAGCATTTGTGTTTAATTGTGCATGGGCTCACCGTGAGCTGGGGACTAACTTGATAACAATTAAAAACAACAACAATAACTAACAACCTTGAATGTCTTTTCAGAAGCTTATTGGCCATTTGTATATATTCTTAGAGAAATATTTATTCAAATCTTTTGCCCACTTTTTATTTGGGTTGTTTGTGTTTATGTGGTAAAACTCAAAAACAAACTCATTGCCGTCAAATCAGTCCCAACTCATAGCAACCCCTCCTTGGATTTCTGAGGCAGTATCTCTACAGAAGTAGATTGCCCAGTCTTCCTTCTGAGGAGTGGCTGGTGGGTTTAAACACCAGCCTTCTGGTTAGCAGTCTTTTGAAACAATTTAAATGTAACATATATTAAGTCGCTTAGGGTAGATATTATATTTGGAAATAGCAACAGCCAGCATAAGTTAATTTGGATGAATATGGTAAATAATCAATTTAGATAATACCAAATTTAATCAAAACATATTTCTCAGATAATACTATAAGCCCAATCTTTTGGAGTGTGTTATTTTCTAATAGGGAGTTCTGGTGGCATAATGCCTAAGGCACTTGACTGCTAACCAGAAGGCTGGGAGTTCAAACCCACCAGCCACTCCTCAGAAGGAAGACTGGGCAATCTACTGCTGTAATGATACTGCCTCAGAAACCCATGGAGGAATCACTGTGAGTCGGATCCAACTCAATGGCAGTGACTTTGGTTTGGTTTTGGTTATTTTCTAATAAACAGTTTCTTATATTTAAAACATGCATGAGGTATACTCACTTCCAATTCTACTGAAAGGTCCCAGAGACATATCTGCCCATCGTGGCACCCTGTTACAATGGTAGCCCCGTCATCTGTTAACAGCACTGCTGAAATACAATGTGTTGGTGCTTTGCGACCCCAAAGAACAATGGGTAGAACTAGGCTGTTTCCTGCCATTGTGTTTTCAAACCTGAAAATACAAGAAAAATGTCAGATATTACCAATATTTCTTTTGAAAACACATTACATATTTTTATTGTGAAGCTAGCTTATACAATCTGAAAACGAGCACCTAATTCTGATAGCCTAATTTAGCTATTTAAACATTTATTATTCCCCAAAAAAAATGACTTATCTTAAGCTTCAGATCTTCAACAAATAAGGTATAAGTCTTTACTCTAGGAGTTCACAATTTTAAAAACTGGGCAATAAAAAGCTAATAAATAGTACCTCACATCTATTTAGTACCCCATAGCTTATAAAACACTTATATATATGTCACTTCATTTTGATTCTTGAAATAAGTCTTTTAAGGTTGGAAGGACAAACATTAAGAATTAAGCATTATCTGCCCTAAGACACAGAGCTAGCAAATGACAGAGCCCACATAAAAGTCAAGTCCTGATCTTTTGATCCGAAGCTATCTGCCTCTACAAAAAAAGACAGGTCGAATATAAAATCTGTTCTTAGAAAGTTCTATGAACAGAGACTATATCACTACCACTAGGCGATAATTATGAATAACATTCTAAATGTCAGGAATTCTTCTAAACACCTCTCTCTCTCTCTCATTTTCAGTCTATGCCCTAACTTGGACTTGTAGCCTCTAAAACAGACAATAAATTTCTGTTCTTTAAAGCCATCCATTTGTGGTATATTTCTTTCGACGGCACTAGGAAATTAAGACAAGGAAGAATCTGTCCATTACAGGAGTAAGCTATCTGAAAATTCTGTGCAGGGAAAAAATATCATCTCAGTCCATCAAAAATGAAAATGTCACAAAATATATTTTTTCTTTAGTACCTAAAACACCTAATAAAATAAAATGAAACTTTAGAAAAGCCACCACAAACACTAGTGAAATAAGATGAAATGAAGGATGGTATAGCTCATGATGACGAAATAGTGTAGCACAATTAGATGCTTTTACAAAGAATTAGCCAGCTGAGACTCCCACTGAATTGGCGACGAAGGAAACAACTGAATAAAACAAAACAAAACATATATATATAAATTAGCCAGGACATAACCATTTAGTTTTATCATAAGAAGTCAAGTTTGAATTTCTGTAAACTGAATGAATAATGGACACACCAGGACACACTAAATTGGCACCACAAGGGAGTTTTTTCAACCATCAGAATTCATCTGTCTACTTACCAGTAATCTATTCTTCATTTTCCAACATTATCACCTATTTCATGAAGGAAATTAAATATACTCAAACAAATAAAACAGTTTTTATTAAATGGAAGTGAACAACTGACAGAATATTATTCACTGGTGTAAAAAAAATAAAATAAAATTTTTAAACATATTTTCATGGAAAAGACCAAAAGCAAAAATGAACAAATGACTAGGAAAATCTGATAAGGTGTTTTCTTGAATAAAAAATATGGAAACATTGTTAACTCTCCAAAATACTGTGTATAATATATTCATATTTTACAACTAATACACAAAAGGGAAATGCTATCTTTCAAATTTTGGAGTCATCACATACCACATACATCAATATATTCTAAGAGGACTGCTGTTGTACTTCTAAGACCAGATGCTTTAAAAACACAACAATCCTAGGAATATTCCGTTGCTGTCCAAATCTGGCTTAACATGACATTTACAGATTTGGCTCTGAACAAAAGATTCTTCAATGATGAAGTATTAGATTCGAATATCAAGAGTTCTCGACTGCACTTCCTGCTTTGCACTAATTATACGACCTTTGATCCTATCTCACTTCTGAGGCTATTTGTAAAATTAATTCTGAATCATTTTAGGTAAAAAGGAAAACATCAGAAAGAACAGGAAATTTACAGATGAAAATTAAGTCAGTGTTTTTGATTACTTAAATTCCACTTACTTCTCTAGTTCACCTAATTTTACCTGTTTCTCTGCTGTGTTTACAAATAATAAAACTTTACTTCAGTGAACAACAATAGTAAAAATGATCATTGAAAGAGCACTGAGCTTACAGTCAGAAGACCTGTATTCAAACTCTGGCTCATGTATGTGATCTTGAAAAATATACCTGTGTAGGTCTTAGCTTCTCTATCTGCATAAGATAGATCATATACCTTCCTCTCAGAAAGTTAGGGAGCTCTGGTGGTATAATGTTGGTTAAAGCATTCTGTTACTGTGGTAGTTAAGTTTGTGTGTCAACTAGGCTGAACCTGGTTGAGTGGCTGGGCAGCTGGATGTAGTATTCCCCACATTGAGACTGGCAATCAACTCCATGGTGGAATCTACTATGAGCAGCTGAGTAACTGCCTTAGGGATGTGGTCTGCTTCCTGTATATAAGGAAAAGCCTTGGGGAATGGTCTCTAGCTTATGGCATGCTTGAACCCTGCATAAAGCCAAGTTGTTGTTCAGAAGCCTGCCATGCTCTGTCAATCCTAGGACTTTTAATGGACTTGAGTTAATGTCCTGCCATGTGGTTTGGTAATATTGGACTGTGCCTTATTATTTGTCAACCTTGGGCCTGTCAGCCTCAGCAGCCAGCAGCTGAGTGAAGAAAAGCCTCTAGCTCCAGTGGGCTGGGAGCAGGAGGCAGCGCTGAAGCCCAAGGCTGAGGGGCTTTCACACAGCCCCTAGAGCCTGGCACTTTGAATTCAGACTTAAAGCCTCCAAACTGTAAGACAATAAACTCCTGTTTGTTCAAGCATCCCACCTGTGGTATATTTTCTGTTAGAGCAGCACTAGGTAACCAAGACAACCAAGAGGTTGGCAGTTTATTGGTATTAGTTCAATGACAGATACATAGACCAATGGAATAGAATTGAGAACCCAGATATAGATCCATCAACCTATAGTCAGCTGATCTTTGACAAAGGC